TATCCAGACAAGACATCGGCTGTAGAACCGCCGTATTCTGTCTTTCAATCGACGCGGCTCGGTTGAAGCAGTTTTTAGACTACGCATAATCTATTTAAACGGGTAGAGCGTCGGTTTGTGACTCGGCACGCACGGCCGGGCTCATTTGCCCCCAAGACCCAACCCAATAATTAGGTCTCTTCAGTCCTATGGCAGGCTGATGACAACGTATGATTCAAAAACGACCGCCTCCCGGTCTCCATTGGCTTTGTTGGCGACGCTCATCTAGTTTACACCGAATATCCATGAATCAACCGTTCGGGAATTTTGTGGCAGGGTCCGCCGCAGCTCGCAAATTTCGTATGCCGACGGGGTATTTTGCGTACTTTATTCTATGCTGGAGAGCATTACCCTGGAGATGTTTGACTTCCTGGTCTGTGTCCGGTTAAAGTCGCTTGGTGCCATTCTTCCCACCTAGTGAGCCACAACCCCCCTCCCCTTAGCATCACTGAGATGTAATCTTCTTTGGGAGCAATGAGAGAAGAGGTAAGGTCAGGCAAGATATTCTGGTTTTAAACGTCCAAACCCCCAACAACTTTGGCGGTATAATGGGTGCCGTCCGCTGCCGAAGAATTGTTACTTGATTCCGCCTTCCTATTTGTGTGTGCCTACACACCTGGCAAATTGGAGTTTCGCGGAGTCTGTCCAAGCTGTCCACCTGTTTGGCGGAGGGTGGAGGAAAATCTCAGAACCAGAACGAGGTTATTTCAGTGGCTTTTTCCTCTTCACTTACCAACGGAGACAGGAGAGTTGGGTGACTATTTGGGGGCTTGTGTGTTCTTCTCCGTCGAGGCATAGCTCAATCTCCCCGACTGAAAAGGTTCGAGAGCTGAAACTAAGCCCACAGGGTCATGCAGCTCGACGGCCTACCAGCTGAGCCACGGGCTCGAGTCCGCCCCGACGCATTTCGGAATCCTCAGTCACGTTTTAGCGTCACCCACCGACCTGCGCCGATTGCATGACGAAATATGAGGGCTGCGAACGTGAGCCTCAGGCAAAACAGTACGCTTGCATTTGGTTGTGCAACCAGGCAGATCGGTGAAGGTCACTCTAACGTGACCTCGTCAGCTTACACGCGCAGTGCTTCTTAACTGAGCGTTCTCTAAGGCGGTTATTTTTGTCCTGCATTTAGCAGGTGGCGGTGAGCGGAGGCTGAGTGCTTGGGGTATCAGTGAGTGGGAGCGAGTCGGGAAGCGCGGACGCACTTCAACTTCTACGATACGTTAGGCGTAGTCCAGTTCAGCTTTATTAAGGGGAAGATGGACGAACGCCTTTGGACTCCCTGTTCGTTACAACATATCCTAGGAAAAGCGCTGATATCTAGGAAAAATTGAAGAGATTGTTTACATAATTGTAGACGTCTGTTGGTCAAAGAGTAAATATAAACGTCTACTCGCTTATTGCAGGCAGCATAATCATTTGCAGATTCGGTGGCTGGCTATGTGGGCGCATGTGTGGTTGGTAAGTGAGCGGCTTGGTGCGTGTCGAGTTTGCACGTAAATGAATCTACGCTGGAGGAGGTTACAACATCAGTGGACAGGGCGTCCAACCCTGCAACCACTCTGTTACTGAAGAAGGACTTGCGCCTATTAATCCTTGCTTTGCCTGGAGGTGGCCACGTAAAGTGGACGCGTTGGCGTGGGTGAAAACGTCACTGAGAACAAAGCAATAGTCCAGGCCATTCATAATACGGCAGGTTAGCATGAGATCACCGCGTTGCTGCCCGTAGGAAAGGGGAAATGGGTTGAGGGTTGACAGTCTATTTTCATAGAGCAGTGTTCCTAGAACTTTGGCCATTTTTTCCGCCCGCCTCTGGACCTTCTCTAGGACGTCTCAGTCCTGAACAGTCTAAGGTCTAAATGTCTGTATGGCATATTCTAGCTGCGGTAGCATTAAGGTTTGAAATATTTCAGAAAAGCTTTCAAAACCCATAAGGGTTCGCCTAATGAGTTGCGATATAGATATGGCCGACTTGACCGCCTTCGTGCGTTTCAGCGTTGGCCCGAGTGAAGATGCAAATCACACAACCAAGTCCCTCTGACCGTAGACATGCTGAAAGTTTGAAGAGTAGGCCCTCGGCTGGAGGCTCTGCAGCCGACAAGTTGAAGGGAATTGCATTTACATTAGGGATATTCGCCAGCACTTCGACCCGTATTTGAGCCTGTCTATTTGCAGATGGTTTACCGTCTACTATCGCAGTGTCGTCCACATGCGCGCAAGTTGCTACACATCTGACAGGGTGTCAGCACTCGGCAAATCAGTAGTATCGGCGGACTATGAGGGGCTAATATGAGGGTTTCTGTCTGACTTTGTTCATGCGCTCGAATTGTGTCACACCACATTGCCACGACAGCTCAAGGAACGTTGATAATATGCATAGACCTGAAAAACTGTCGAGTTTAACGATTGTGAGGCTGCACTAATCCCACCATATATGGTAGATGGCGCAGATAATTACAAGTGATCATTGAGACACTAAAGTGCAAAGGCTGATTAAGATGTCCAATGACGTAGAAATTTCCACCGTTGTCTGGGTTCCTAATTTCAAGCACTACGGGACTATTCAATCCACGCGTTCTCTGGTTAGGACCTCGCAAACCTTTGAAATTGGATACAGTTTCTGGCATGATCATCAGCGGCAAAAAGACGGCGTCACCTGTAGTTTTTAGGGGACGAGGTCTCCTCACTTAGGTTACTACCGTCGGAGTCTGTAGCAAAATATCCCACAAGGGAAAAGCGTGACGGACCAGTAATCTGAGTCGCACTCTAGGACAGGGCTCCTTACTGTGTGGGGAGGGGGACTGTTCTTCGCGCAGAAGCTGCAACAGAGTTCAGGGAGGTGCAGAACGACCTTATTGTTGGGAGTTGTAGATCCTGGTTTCGTGCCCACCATTTCGTATCCTCAGCCACCCATTCCCCCTCCGCAAAAAAAACAATCAACGGATTTTCTCCAATCCTAGCCAACGCTGCGCAAACATGCCACTTTGTTCCAGTGGAAGGGCCCCGAAGATAGACTCATTAATGATTGAGTCCCGCCCATGCACTATTGGTAAAACCTTCGCTTGTAGTTCATTTAGTTGGATGACATGACATTCAGTATAAGGACTTACTTCCCAGAATCAAGGAGTTCCAAGAACATTATGGGCCTCAAAGGCGCCTTGGACACGGTGAACAGGGAAGGACTGTGGAAGTGATGGGACTCGCGCATGTAGGGAGGTTCATGCAGATTATCAGTAGGCAGTTCCGCATCAAAAACAATCGATCGACCTCGGAAGCCCTCATCGCGACAAGTTTTCGTACTTACCCGAAGCATCTTCAACATCACGCTACCCGCGGCGTTGATGCAAGTTCGTCGCAGCGCGCGGCCAGAAACCAACGGGCAGTTGTGGGGCACCCGGAACCCGCAGGCCTATGCGAAAGTCTCCACGTGACAAGTGCGCGACCTCCTATCCGCCACCGATCTGGCACTGTACATCGAAGCCAAAGCGGGCCTGTGGAAGTGGCCACACGACGTCACCCTGAGAAGTTTCCACCGGTGAATGGTCGTGCAGCAACCGGCACTGACTACAGAGCACATCGGACCGATGGCCACTGGCAATAACCAATGTGCCGTCGCTGCGGACTTCCTCCTGCTGGGAAGGAACAATCTTGTGGGATACAGAATGTTAACCGATAGTTCCGGTATCCAAATTCAGTCAGGCTTTCGGTGAACTACGATATCCAACCCGGAATCGCTGCGGCCCTCGCCCAGTGCTAGGCCATTTAACAGAAAGCAGACTGCGTCCGTGACTCCACAGTGGGTACAGTGGACGGGGTTCCCGTCGCCAAAGCCGCGGAACCTGGGTTCACGCAAGCTGCTCCCAACTATCCTCTACCGTCTAGAAAAAATTAAACCGTGAGCCAACGCCGAACTAGACTATACCCACCCTCAGCGATTGTTTCCTAACCAGAAATGTCCTAAAAACTCCAATCATGCATCTTAACCCCGACCGTCGCTAGGCCGAAGTACACACAATCTGATGGAAGTGCCCATCGCCAATTACGACGGCCGGACCGGGGTAAAGCATAGACTTCACGCGACACTTTTTGATGATTCTCCAGACTGATCTGAAATGTAATAAGGTGCGGAAACATCCACAAAAACGACCGCGATCCCGGCGTGTCACTTTGCGGCTTGGACCGACAGACAGTGACGTCCGCGGAATTTCAGCGTGATTTAGGCATGTGTCATGAGGCAAGGAGCATTTGGTTTCACAACTTCCGACATTGCGGTCGCACATTTTGTGGGTCCCACGGCAAGTTCTGTTCTACAGTTTCTGTCGGACCTCGCGCAGACAATCAATGGGGTTCAGCGAGAACCGATTGCTTACAAGAGGCCGGGCTCGGCAATTTAAACAAACAAAAAGACAGCGAATCACGCGACAGAAATCCTCATTTGCGAAGCTCCAAGCCCTCTTGAAACGGCATTGACGGTAGGGGACGATTAAAGTAGAATAGGTCAAGGACCACTTTGTACATCAAACAGATTTCTTGGAGTCAGGTGCAGTACTTAGCTACCGTGTGACTGCGACTTTCGTACTTCCAATGATCTGCAACATCAAAAAGTTGCCACTTTATTGATTTACGGGTCAAAGCAAGTGTCATTTCTTGCCAGGCGGGGACCACACCTGCGCCGGATGAGAGGAGTTTCTACCCCACCACGCCGTCGCTAGTTGGCGGGGTGTCTCGCAAGTCAAAATCAGTCTATAAACTCCGCCTTTTAGACCTGATGCACGAAGCTTTAAAGAGAGCTAATGGGGCACAAAACAAGTTGGTTCCATTTATTAGAAAGGAACAAAGAATTATTGGTTTAGTGCGGCGAATAAACTATCTAGTGTGAGAAGAAACTCAGCGAGGGGACACGGTCGGATAAAATGTTGGTAACTAAGCTCTGTACATATGACCGTCCACGGAAAGCGGGTCTACTTTCTATACCAAAATTGCTGCGTCCTCATGTACTTGATTTTCTTCTGCAACTGCAAGATGGCGTAGAGAAGAGCCTCGGCAGTTGGTGGACAGCCTAAAAGGACAAGAGACAGCGTAGTCGCCGACGCGCAGGGATTCAGGTAAAAAAGCATATCGCTCAAGTGTTAAGCAGGAAGTTGTGGAATAAAACTCTATTAAAGAAATACGAGGTGCCTCGACCTCAAATATTAGCCTGACGACCCACCACACTGCCTGAAGTATGAGTGTCTAGTAGATTTGAATAAAAAATACTAGGTGGGGAAGCACATACGGGATCAGTAGAGTCAAGTGGAATGCATAATCGACAAAAAGGAAGGAAGTCTCCAGACGGGTCGCTAAAGCGGCTTTAGTCCAAACTGGTACACATCAAGATCGCACTACTCGTGACAGGCCTGATGCTCTTAGTGGGCAGGAAATCGCTTCCCCGGCGAATTCGACCTGAGGGCCTGGACGACAGCCCACCGGCTAATAAGTGACCCCTGGACAGCGCTGTAAGCTGTCTTGCCTGATAATGTCTTCCATTGTGGTCAGTTGGCCGCAGACCCAGCTGGCATACTGGTCTCGCAGACAGAAGACAACACGAACAGGGGTGCGACTAGGGTCGGCTTTCGCTATGCCCACTAACGACCATAATTAGCCATCTCAACCTGTTCGGCAGCGGGGACCGGGACCAAGCGGTAAAATTATGAAAATTTTGCCCTAGAAAGGACAAGGCATGTGGGTAAACCATACTGATCAGGCGCGGATGATCGGTTCTGCACTTGACGAAATCCAATTTTTCACGTGAAAGGCGGTTGCAAACCGAGTCGGTGGGCGGGGCCAAAGTAAAGTCGGCCGATAGCTCTTGGGTACGTCTCATGTAAAGGTGAGCCGAGGCAGACATGGTTCCGAAATTGACGTACACACAAAGGTCAAATACTCACGTTACAGCACACCCTAGAAGCCCGCAATGACGAATTGTGACTGACCTACCTTTTTGTTGGCTTCGATGCGACGTCCAGTTGCGTTCGTCGAAGGGTCTCGTCCATAAAAAGCACTATTATAGCTGTACAATATACAGGTAGGCGAGTCTCGGTGCCTACGCTACGACCCGAAAAACCGTCCAGATGACTAAAATAGTACTTCTACGCCCTTTTCTGTGATCTGTCCTGAAACTACCATTCTACAAGGATGCATCCTGTCGCCAACTAATTCGTCAGAGAGACTCCTAAAGTTCTGTGTGGTTTCGATTATCGTGGACTTGGGCCCGAATACATGATAACCGACTTTGACTAAACTCACATCTTTCTAAAGATGTCAAGTCATTAAGTTCCGAGTAGGTCCCGCCTTGACGAGGTCAGCAAACCAAATGCTTTGCGTATCGACATTGTGAAAACCAAAATATTATCAGACTGGAATTCGCACCGGGTGGTAGAAATGTGGCTGAAGATCAAGCGTTTGGAAAGATCGCAAGTTTCGGATATCCAGAAATGAAAGTAGGGACGAGTCTGGGCTGCTCATCAGGTTTCTGTTATCTTCTCAATGCAAACAGCTGGTCGCTTCCAACATGCCCGGGCTGCCAACGCACATTCCGCGCGCAAATCAACCTCTTAAGACATCTTCGGAAACAACGCACCTAAAACCTGGTAACTCCAACTTCTCTACCCAAGAACATCCCTGTCGTAAATCCCGTGACGATGGCCACTGCCGTCACCGGTGGCCAGACTGCCGATGCCTCGTCGTCATCCATTTCTGGCACCATCCGCCCTGCCCCAATCCCTGTGTCGATCATTGCGGCCAGCTCCGTCAACACCGGGACCTCTTGCACTCCCTCCACCGCCGGAACAACATCCGACGTCCCGTGATCTACTACTACTACTACTACCATCATCATCATCATCATCATCATCATCATCATCATCATCATCATCATCATCATCATCATCATCATCATCATCATCATCAGCAGCAGCAGCAGCAGCATCATCATCATCATCATCATCATCATCATCATCAACAACAACAACAACAACACCCTCACCTACAGCGCAATGGACTCGGTCCAAACTTTTCATCATTGTGATCTCAAATTCACCTCGCACATCGGCCTGATGGGTAACTTGCGAATCTGTCACACGGAGGCTAGCGAACCAGTTGCTGGAGCACCCACATGCACCCGCCACATCCGCCTTCACTGCCCACATTGCCCCGCACATTCCTTCTCCGCATGAACCTACCTGGTCACATACGTATCCACGGCCGCGGGATTCACCGCAGTATAAAAACACCTAGTACACCTTGCACATTCACCATGCTTAGCCCAATCAACGCCTCATCGCCCAGTGTATCCACCACCAGCATCTTCACCACGGAAACCGCCTCTGACGCTCCCGACCTACTCTCGCCAAACTGTCCCCGCACATTCACCTTACACCCGCCTGCTCGTTCACCTACGAGTCTATCGCACGGAGACTGGCGAACCAGTGTCTGAAGCACCAACCTGCACTCGCCGCATCCTCCTCAACTGCCGCCGCTGCTCCCGAACATTCAGCCGCCGCATGGGCCTGTTAGGCCGCGTGCGCATTCGTGAAAACTTGTGGTAGATCATCGCCGGCCATACTACCCCACATCTCTCCTCACGAGCATCTGTAACGCACATCAGCATCACCTATCAGCACACGACACAAATACAATTGGCACCTCTCACGTAAGTGGGAAATGTGCTTCTTGGCTCCTCGCCCATTTGGCTTCTCTGGTGCATTTGTAATCCAAGTCTGAAAATATCACGGTGCACCAAGCACCGTGGCTCGGAAGGTTGCCGACTGATGCCTCAACTCAGTCCACGCAGTCCGCCCAGCTGTGTGTGTTTGTATGGAATGGCGGACTTGTGTGCTGGGGATCAGATTGCAACGGCTCCTTCTTAACATGACCTCTGCTACTCTCACGCGTGTTAAATGTATGCCGCCCACCCCTGTTGTGCGAAATCCTGGCGCTTGTGTTTGGGGATCAGGTCGTGCATGTGGCGCGCGCAGAGGAGGTCACTAGATACGTCAGCTACTGTACGTGGTCGCAGGCCCAGCTGCAGGCTCACGCCGTGCACATTGAAATACCTGGCGCCCCCATTGTTGTTGTTGGTTAGAATCTTGGTCGTGTTTGTTGTGGACCAGGGCGTGTGGTGGTACCACTGGGTGCGGGTCCGGCCGTGCCAGCCGCCTGCATCCTCTCGCGCCTCCGGTCCCCTGGACTATGTCTTGACACCGAGCTCAGGTGGGGGAGGAGAGAGTGCAGTAAATCCAGCGCAAGTCCACTATCACTATACAACAAATCGCGCGCAATTCGCCGTGCCTGCTCTCACCTTGCTGTGGAGCACACGATGAACATCGTCAGCAACAACGGACGAACTGTCATCTTTGGAAAGGTGCATGAAAGCGCTCCGATATTTAAGTTACTCCAAAAATGTGTGCGTAAGGGAAATTTACCCATACCCATATATACAGCAATGCATTATGGACAACGTATCTTGAAGACCAACGCTAAGAGGCTCCAGACTATCACTGCCTGGAAAGAGACTTCTAAGTGAATCATGCGGAGTTCGTCTAAAATGAGACGATTCACACTCGCTGCAACAATGTTCCGAGGATATATTGGGCCATCAAAAACGTCTCGAACGGCTGCATAAAGAGCTCCTAACAGCTGGACTTAACACTCAAAAGTGGATTAGGCGCAAGCCGAAGGCCCGACAACTTTATACTATACAGTGTTGGTTGTCTCCAGTTCTTTGACAAGTGGGGAATTTTATGCTTAATGCAGCATCTGAGGTAGCCTTAGGAAGGAGACGTATGGTACAGGGGCTGCATGTAATTAGTATCATGGATGATTGAGACTGAGGTCCCAAAACCCACGGAAGAACAACAAGAATAAAAAAACCAACCTGGCACATATATGTCCACAGGAATTATTCGATCACAGCCCCTAACAACACTGTAACTGTAGTGGTAGTATCCACCTCCGTTAGCACAGGATCCCATCGAGATAGCCCATTTAGGATCAGGCATTTGGTCCCATATTCGGCGTAAGGCAGGGGCCATCTTGTTTGTAAGCGTGCCGGCAACAATCATTAGGTCAGCTTGTCGAGGACTAGCACGGAAAACGACGCCGAACCGGTCCATATCATAGCGAGGTGCCGCCATGTGCATCATCTCAATAGCACAGCAGGCAAGACCGAAAGTTAAGGGCCAAATTGAATTCTACAGAAAACGAAATAAAAGAATAGTATGACAACCTTCCGCGCCCAGTTGACTACATCATCCATTCTTGCAATAACGTATTCTACTTTATTGGATGGTTGGACACGAAAAGGGCTATATGGTTTGTATTTTTGTACATCCTCGTATTTGCTGGAAGGCTGTGGTGGCCTGTAAAATCATATGAAGGAAATATGATCAAATACGGCTGTTTCAAATTATCCGGACTAGTAAGAAGTCTGGATGTGTGTAAGGATGCTGGGAAGAACAGGCGAGGTGTTAAAGACGAGGCAAAACCTCGCCCGACGGACAACATCGCAAGAAAACAAGGCTTTGCCAAAGCCGCCACTTCAAATGCTTATTAAAACAATCCAGCATAAAACTGTATGTCTTAACTTACTGGCATTATTTTTGAGGAACCATTGGAATATCTTGCAGAAGGGGAATTGAAACTTATCGTATGAGTTGGTATTTACATGCCGACCGTGTTAGCATTTGATCCAGGACTATGAGGCCGTAGATGTCGAATAATTACATTTGCAGCCAGAGGGTACTACTAAGAACTCTAAAGTCATTTACTTACATAACGTGCTTTTTGCTGCAGTGCATTGTGTCGACGTGATGCTTACATATTTCTACGGACTGAGACACAATAATCCCCTCTGGCAGACCATTTCGTGACTTTAGCACAGGATACGAGGTATGGTGCATTCTTTTATCCGACCCCTAATAGGTCACACGTACATTGAAGTGATGATCAAGGTGTTTGATGGTGCATGGGAGTTAAAAGGAGTCCTCACACAAGAAAGCGCTGTTTAACCCACGCACAATATGATAGATTTGTGCACGGTCTCCTCAAGACTGTCTATAATAGTGTAATTCAGTATTATTCAGTTTTTATGAGGGATAGAGGCAGAGCCTTGGAAAACCCTATTTACAGATAGACGTATGAAAAAACATGCAGATATTTACATAGCGGTTATGCCAGTTATTGATAAAATACAAATGTTTGACCATCAAGTATTAAGTTATCTAGTCTTCTTTTGAAGGTCTCAAAGTTTTTCGCTTATACAACGGAGTTCGGCAATTTGTTCCATCCTTCAACCAGTCGGTGGGAGAAGAAATTGGCCCGCAATTCGAGTTTGGCATATTTCGTCCTCAATTTGTATTGGTGCACTCGAAGATTTGTCGCCCCCGCCAGTTCGAAGAAATCGTCAAACTGAAGAGCACAGTCTAACCCTCGGACGATCCTGAAGGGCATGATCATATCCCCTCTGTATTGTCTATAGGAGAGGGGAAATATTTTTAGCTTTTCCAGCCGTTTCTCATAAGGTAAGCTACTTAATCCGCCGACTAGCTTAGTCGCTTTTCGTTGTACGTTCTCCAGTAGGATGTAATCTTTTTCGTCCAGGGACACCATGCCTGGACACAATATTCCAGCATTGGCAAACGTATGCTCCAAATACTCGGCTGAAAAGTTCTTCGTCAAAATTGAGGAAGGGTCATCTAATCGCGCCTAGGATACTCATAGCTTTCTTTGATACCTTGGCGCAGTGAGACGATAGTTTGAGAGTTGACGTCATCCAAACACCGAGGTATCTTAACTCGTTGACTGATTCGAGTTGGTGACCTCCAAGAAAGTACTGAGATTCAAATCTTAACGGCCTCCTGGTGCTCGAACGTAATCGGATAAGTTGGAATTTGTTACGATTGAGTGCTAAGTGGTGTACTCCAGGGTTCCGTCTTAGGGCCGTTGCTATTCCTGGTTTACATTAACGACTGCGTCGACGACCTGGAATGCAGCGTCATCATGTCTGCTGACGATGTTAAGCTGTGGAGACCCATCAGAGCTGACGCAGACAGGTACGCGCTTCAAGACAGTCTCAACCGCCTGAACAGTTGGTCAGCTCGTTGGCTCCTTAATTTTAATGTGGACAAATGTGTGGTCCTGAGACTCCGCGCCAGACGGACCAGTAAGGAGGACGATTCCTTTTAATACGTCCTTGGTGGCCAGCCCCTTTCAAATGTTGTGGAACAGAAAGACCTGGGCGTCCTAATGACCTCCTCGCTGAAACCATCATCACAGTGTCAAAAGGCAGCTAAAAGTGCGATAAGAGTGTTATTTGCGCTGCGGCGAGGATTTGTGCAGATCGATAAACAGCTGTTCGGAAAAACCTATGGGGCATTCGTCCGGTCTCAGTCCAGGCCTGGCGACCGTGGTTGAAGAAAGATTATCAACGACTGGAAAGAGTACAGGCGATGGCTACGAAGATGGTCAAGAATCTTCATCATTTGCCTTACGAAACCAGGCTGACCGAACTAAATCTATTTCCTCTAAATTACAGGCAACTGCGCGACGATCTCATTCAAACCTACAGGATTGTGAGAAGGCGTGAGTGCGCCCTAGACTTTGATGAATTCTTCGAATTGGCCGGGAGTGACCGTCTGCGTGGTCATCCCTTCAAACTGCAAAGGAAGCGGGCTCATTCGGACGTCCGACGGAACGCCTTCTCTCGCAGAGTCATTGGGGCATGGAACGGACTCGCTGATACCGTGGTTCTTTCCGAAAGTGTCAAATCTTTTAATTGCAGACTAGATGCTTATTTTTGAGAAACTACTGTACATATAACAATGATTGTTTTAGCGGCGGCAGTTTGCGCCTAGCTCACAGTTACCGCTAACTTTTTAACTTTTTGCATTTTCTGATGTAATTGATGACTTTATTTCTGTTTATCGATATGAATAGGGTGCTCAAGGGAAAAGCCTCATTCCCTTAATAAACTGACTTAAGACACCACTCATCACACCATTTTTGCAAGCGATTCAAATTGTCTTGTAACTGTACAGACTCTTCCGGCCTCTCTATTGATTTCTACAATTTGAGATCATCGGAAAACATTACGCGCTCGCAGTTCAGACAGTCCGGACATTCGTTCACATATATTAAGAAGAGAATTGGACCCAGCCCGCTTCCCTGCGGAACGCCACTGTGTACGGATGCCCATTCCGATTTAGCGTTTCCGATACACACACGCTGAGATCTGCCCGTAAGAAAATCGGTTAGCCATTTCAACAGATTTCCATCCACACCCACTTGACGTAGTTTACATATAAGTGTGGAGAGATATAAATTGGGTAGGTCGATCGCATATGTCAAGGAGTAGTTCAATCTGACTAATTTGTTGGTCTGCATCTGAGCTTTTCCGAGTGGGTTACAATTCTGTTTCATCCAGGGTCTCCAAGCCCCAGCCGCTATAAGAGACGTCCTTGTCCCATTTTCCAGTCTCACAAAAACTCGTTGTACAGTGAAGACGTAACTGAAAACGTCACAGTCGCATGAGTACTTTTTGTTGAATACTTGTGCAGATTACAAGTGCGAAGCAAAAGGCTCTGCTAATATCTCTGCGTGTAAGGCCTACCATAAAATTTGCCCTATGATATCGAATTACATCTCGTTACAGACAAAGTATGCTTGGTGCGTTCATAAGTGATGCCCATTACCGACTTCGAAAATTTTAAATTTCTAATAGGCAACATATGGGATTTTGCAGTTATAATTTTTCCTTGGACTTGGTTGAATTCCCAAACGAATAAAAATGGGGAGGATGTTAGACAAAAATTGGATGGCCATATCTCATCCAGCCTATTCTTATCAGAAGTCTTCGGTAAAGATCGTGAATCTGTTCTCGAGGTTCCTCAAAGAAACGGAAGAGGACGTACTTTTCAGAGGAATGACTTACAATTATTCTGAATCGAATTACTGGGAATTGGTTGCAGGCTTTGAAGTCCTCCATATCAACAATAGACTTTACGGAAGATGAACGATTTACAGTCTGAAACAGTACTGTACAGACCTTAAAAGATTGGAATCACTTTTCAACACTCTCACATGAAGAAAGGAAGCCACTGAAAAAGCCAAAAACGGACGAAAACTTTGTCCTTTTTTGTCTCAGACAATGGAGGCTTAATTGTGATTTTGAGCAAATTAGACTACAATGGGATGCTGTCACTTAGAAGGTACTTCAAAGCTCAAGTCTTAATCTGCGGACCCTACGAAGGGAGAGGCTTCATTTATTGACAAAGTGCCGAGGCGCCTTATAGGAACAAAAAGAATGCCAGGAGATATTACAAAATCCCCGAGACAGTCTTAACCAAATATTGCCAAGGTCTACGGAATGCCCAAAGTTCACAAAACTGAATTACCACTGCCACAGATAGAATTATTAATCAGTGCACCAAATCGCAAAATTCCTAAGTTGTTATTCTACCAAATCCACCCACATACGAGAGATTGTGATACTTCCATTCGGAACTCTATAGAGTTTTTAGAAAATTTGGAAATAGTCACAGATTCCGCGGATAAGATACTGGTCTCCTATGCTGTCGTTTCTTTATTCCCATCCATACCACTACATTTCGCAAGTATTTTTGTTTAATCGCTTCCCTTGACAATGCCTGCAAACTGGCATTTAATAAATTAAATTAAATTAAAGTACGCAGATGAACTCCTAAAGTCCTATAACACAACTGATTCTGCAGCTACCTAACTTAATTTCGTAGACCCTTGTTTAAGAAAACATTTTCGTTCAAGCACCAGTATTGTCATCGACTCAAACGAGCTCTAAGGGGATAACGTATATCTGGCTTTCTTGCCGGGGCGATAATGCAGAAACTGGAGTCAGCATCTCCTCCATTAGTTAACCCAAAGTTGGGGGTACGATATATAGACGGTGTTTTTGTTGTCGTATAAAAGGATCAACCGAAAATGCTCCACAACATCATCAATTCTACCATTCCCGGAATTAAATTCACCCTCGAAAAAGAAGTTGACAATAAAATCCCATTTCCGGATGTTCTTGTACAGCCAAAGGCTAACAGAACATTATGCACTTCCGTCTACCGCATATAAACGTCCGCGGAAGTAATTCTATTGTATGTATGTATGTACTTATATGTGTATTTGAAGGTTTAGATGCAGAGCCCTTGATGACCCTATTTATGTAAAATGCTTCAGCAGATTCGCAGATTTTACATTATGCGAACAACAGCCCAATCTCCCACAAGAGGATGAATGTCAAAAGTCTGCCACATCGAGCAAAAACACACTGCTCTGACGAAAAAAGTTACCAAGTCGAGCTAAACTACCTGTATGATTTTTTTCCTAGGACTGTTGCCCTAGAGATTTCGTTTGTCGATGCATGAGACAGCAAAAGTTAAAAACAAAGGAACTATCAAGCGCCCAAAGTAAATACTTGGTGAATGCTTTATTACAACAGGAATGTGTCTGAACTTGTTGAAAGATCCTTGAGGAAACAC